CCTTATTTCTGAATTTAGGGTTGGAGGGCACCCACAAATGGTCAAATTCTCTCTCTGTGAAGGTGTTAGCATTTTATTGCTATAGTTCTCAGTTCAATTTTGCTTTCTATGTCATAAATGAAAAAGTGATCATTTCTTTTTTTTTTTTTTTCTTATCTCTGGTTTCAAATCTATTCCCTGAAATATTAAACCTCTGCTGTTTTTAGGTGAGTTGGGGTGTCTTTATTTTGCAGGTTCTCTGTCAAGTCTGGTATCACATTGCCTTCTCCTGCCTGCTGTCTTCCTTCTGGTGGCAATGTTAAGGCTCATGGTTGTGATACCATTGAATGTGGCTTATGTGGAAACTGCCTTAGATAGGCTCAGGAAATCTTAGGGGACTTCTGCAGGGCCACAGTGGAAGATGGATCCTTCTAAACAAAGACGCTGAAGAGAGGGAATTCAGCCTGATTGGGCTGTAGCAGATCAATGAGAAAGCACACCGTCCCGGAGAAGCCTTCGTACAAGCTGTATATACTTTTGAGGACCCGAGAACCAGCCTTTTATTCCTCGGTAAATAAGAATTGAGCAAACCTAAGAGAAAAAGAAGAAAACATGAACAGTTTTAACATGAGTGTTTTCATATTTTTGGCCTTGTGGTTGCTTCTTCCTCTTCTGCTAAATCATAGTTTTAGCATTATTTTCTTTTTTAAAGAAAGGCTTTTTCTCTGTAACAAAAAAACCCCCAAAAGTGAGGAACTGTTATGTAAGTGTGAATGTTTCACAGCAAATTGTGTTGGCAAGCAAAACCAACTATTTTCAGAGTTTGCAAAGCAAAGCACTTTGGGTATTTTCTGAGGATTTCATTCCTACTGTCATCCAATAATTAAACATAAAAAGGACAGATAAATTGCCCTACTTCTATTTATCTTGAATAGAAGCAAATTGATATATGACTGTTGTTTTTTAAAAAAGTAAATATGCTATATTTCTATAGATATATTATTTCTGAGCTAGGTTTTACTTATAGGTGACAGAGGGAACAGAGACTGAAAATAAATGGACAAGATCTTATATAATCTGTGCTTTAGGCAAACAAAAAATAAGATGAATGAGAAAAGGAAAGCAATGAGTTTTATGCAATAAAAAATAGCAATAAGTCATAAAAAAGCAATAATCATAACATCATATAGCAAACTCAGCTATAAGATTATTTTTAAGAAATCAATCTTAAAAATAAATCACAGGTCTCTAAATTATCTATGAAAGACCTGTTTTCTTTTACCTACATTTGCCACAAATCTTAGTATTTATAATGAATAACATTTTTATAGTAGTTTACAACTTTTAAAGTGCCATCACCTACCTCATCTTTTTACCGATTTGCTCTACTCATTCCCATCAACAACAAAATAATCACCAGTTCAGAGGCTGGAGCTCATAGCTTGGTAAGGCTCGAGGGCTGATACTGCTGTAAATTTAGATTATTGCTACTACATAGGGTATCTTATGAAGAGTATTTACTTATTTGTTCTCTTTAGGGCTCTGGGAATTATTGATGGAAACTTAAAATAAATCAGCAGGAAACAGATTGCAATTCTTTTTAGTATAGTTTTTCTGTCAACTTTTGTTCTGAATATGCAACAATTTTTAAATGGAATTTTGAATTTTAAATAGTAGAATAATGATGCATCTTACCAGTTAATTCAAAATTTGTAATCATGTAATGAAGTCAGCACCTATAGATTCGGCGGGGGCAGTGGGGGGCATTATCCTTTCTAGTGCTATGCATCATTTGGTAGTCTAGACTGCTTCTCAGAAAAAGTGTTCAAATTCATAGAATAACATACACAAGATTCTGAAGGAAATTACTTATATAAAGCACAGTTAGCAAATTTTTTAAAACCAAATTTGTAATACAATAGCACATATATTCTTAATAATAAATAACAAGGACTAGTAGTGGTTCTAATAATTTCTGACATTTTAAAATACTGATGGAAGTAAAATATATTTCACAACGTTTGCAACAACAGTAATATGACATGAGAATGTGACTTTTATTGGTTGCAGAGTCACAGCTACTGGTAATACTTCTGTGACTTTTTAAAAAAATTTTTATTTTATATTGTATTTTTTTAACCTATATTCAGAATTGAAGAAAATGCTATATTTCAGTTTGAGATGTAATCTTTTTCTCAAGTTCATGAACCCTAGATAAAGAACT